TCAGAATCACGGCAGCAGAAGCACAGATTATTTTGCGCGATTTCTCAGCCCTTTTTCGCCGCTGAACTCTACAATTTCAGAGTTTCGAGTTCGAGTTCGTATCTGAGATTCTCCATTTTGGACCTTATTCCGCATTTGCCAACTTCAATTCTATAGTGGAGCCGGTACGAATCGTTCATCTAGTAGAGCAAAACTCGAACAAGATAGCGATTTTGGATCACCAATGTATTCGGCGGTTGCTAGTTCGCTTCAGATCTCGATCTCCAGTTTGGTGATTCTACTGATGCTTGATATCAAGGCAGTATTTTCGTTAGATGTCCACGGTCTGCCTCGCGTTCTTGTTTTAATCTCGATGGATCTAACGGATCCATTACTCTTCTTTTTACACTTGTGTATTTCTAACGTATATACATATCGCCATTGCAGACGAAATATCAACGATACCAACGAAGCATTGGCTCTGCCTTTACATATTGAATGTTGACAGTATGAGTGTCTTGAGAAATTCTCTCTATACTGTGTCGATTTGTGAGATGTTCTAGCATAAAACGAAATCATGTCTCTATTTTGCTCCTCTTTTTTCCTTTTTCCCTATGCTTTATTAAAATTGGATTTATTGAAATTGGACTCTGTATAATAGGTCCCACAAGAGTAATCGGAAAATATGTTCACTTGAGCAGAATTGCTCTATCCAGGCGAGGCTAAAATAGGAGGGAGAGGAGGATACGCCAGGTACCTCCGGATTGGCTAGAGCAGCGGGTGATGCACCGATCCATCTTCCAATGAAAGATGCCTTTTTCGCCGCCCGCCATATCTTGAAGTTAGGAATATTTTACAGAAATTATCCTTGGTTAAGGCAAAACCCTTGTACCTGCGAAACATGACCACAAGCTTAAGGTATGATAGAAATCGAGTATTCCGGATGCGTTAAATCTGTACTGCACTCAATCAACGATTGCAGCCCCTGCGGAAAGTGCGCACCTAATCTGTAAAATCTAATCCTAAAAATTAATTAAACTAACCTAATTCTAAAAATTAAGAAAAATTGAAACTAATTAAATCGATCGAGAACTATTAAGACACAATTAAATTAATATATCTTTATTTTTATATTAATTACATAAATTATCACTAACTATTAAAATTAAAATTAATTAAACTAATCAAGACGAGTTAATTAAAATAAATAATCCGATTAAAGTGAATAATTCGAATTAATTAAATTAATTAAAACCGATAAATAAAAAAATAATTAAACTAATTAAATAATAAACACATGCAAATGAAAATAATTAAACTATTAAGATATTAAACTATTAAAATTGATTTATGAAAGTAATTAAGTTGAATAACTGGAATTAATTAATCTAATTATACTAATCACGCCAATTGATATACGCAAATTAAAGTAATTAAACTAATCGAAACGATTAAAATAATTAAATCAATTAAGTCAAATAATTCGAATTGATTAAACTAATCGAGACAATTAAAATAATTGATTAAAATAATTGAACCAATTAAGATAAGTAATTCGAATTAATTATGATCTAATAATCGAATGATCTAAATGAATTGATTAAACTAAAATTAATTATAATTAATAAAAGTAATTAATAAAAGTAATTAAGACTAAGAAAAGTAATTAAACTAATTTAGCGGAACAATTTGAATTAATTAAACTAATTGCACTAACGAATGCATAAGAATTAAAGTAATTAAATTAATCGATTAATATTTTTTTTTTCAGTGATGCTTAATGTATAAAATATATAAATCTGACTGTAACAACAAGATATTAGCTCAATGGCGCAGAAAAGTGTCGAGTGTTAATGGGAGAAGAGTGTAATTAAAGAAATAAGTGGAAAGACATTTGAAAACGGGAATTGATCTCGAAAAATATTCGTAACTTTGTAATCCGTCTTAAGATATCTTCTATTGATACGAGTCTATTTAAATTAATCGAGAAGATCAAATTAATAAAATTTGTTATTGACTAACGAAAACAAGTAAGTGGAATTAATTCAATCAATCGAATAATTAATGTATAAATTGAATTAATTCGATTATTAAGACGCATGAATAAAGGAATTAAAATAATTAATCAAAAATTTAATTAATTAGATTAATTAAGACTTAATCTAAAATATATAATTCGATTAAGTCATAAAATACCTTTCATTAATGAAATATTTAAAACGTAAATTAAACTAATTATACGAATTAAGCTATTAAAATATGTAAATAAAATTAATTAAAATAATTAAAGATAAAATAATGAGAAAGAATTAAAGAAAAATAATAATAATTTAACGAGAAATGATAGGAACCATTTATTTCGATTACTAACTCGATATATTAACTGATTCTTTAACATTTGTACAGATCGCGCCGCTTCGTTCCCTATCGATTTAATATCGATTTAATATAATTTGTAAATATTTATAAATATTCCGATATTTATTTGCCCATGTTTGAAAATAATTAAATATTACAAATAAATAATAATATAATTATTTAAATAATAATATATTAAATAATAATATTATTACAAATAAATAAAATAAATTAAATATTATTACAAATAAATAAAATAAATAAAATAAATAAAAATAATAATAATTAACAATAACAATAAAAAAAATCATAATTATATATTTTTATGCTCTATCGATATCTATATACGCATTATTGCTAAAAAAAGAAAAAGAATGATTAAATCCTGATATTATCGAGTAATTTCTCGATACTTATAGACGAAATAAATATAAGAGTGAAATTAAATTCAAAATCTTATTTTTATATAATAATGTTTCCATAAATCGCAATTTAAAAATATATGGTATGTTTATATTGAAATAATTTTATTTATAATGTCATTTTACAATTTATAAATGTATTTACGATTATTACATTGCTTATATTAGGATGTCCTATAAGTTTTTTTCGCATCACGCTAAGAATGACTTTAACTGTTTATTTTTATATGAACATGCAGATTTATCTATTAATTGTTCATCGCATCGGTTTCAGTCATCTCGAAGCTCTTCTAAAGTACGTTTCGTTGGTGATACTATCTTTTTTAAAACCTTTTTCTATACTGTTCAATATGAATAACCAAAGAAAGCATTTGCGGCTTTATTGCTTTAAAAAAGATGATAATGCAAATAATATTGAAGACGACATTTGTATTGTTTACAGGAATGATGTTACAATTATTACGATTGTTCGCAATTGGTTTAAGAGATTTAGAGCTGGCAATTTCGACTTGAAAGATGAAGGTCGCAGCGGACACCCAGCAACGACGAATACAGACTTTATTAAAGCCATGCTCGCTGAAAATCTGCGATAATGTGTAAAAAATAGTAGATGATACTAACATTTCCAGATTACAAAATGATAGATAATGATCTAACCAAGATGGGATATGTCAATCGATGTGAAGTTTGGGTTCACAGCTATTGACAGAGACCGATTTTATGAACAGCATCTTTACGTGCAATTTCCTTTTCTAGCGTTATGAAAGAAATTCTTTCTTAAAGAAACTTGTCACTTGAGACTTGGATCTTGTATCAAAATATGCATCAAAAACGCATTTGATTTAATAGAGACCTTCAACTGCCGTGAAGCCTGGACTTCACCCGAAAAAAGTTCTTTTATCTATTTGATGGAATTGGAAAGAAGCTCATAATCTATTATGAGCTTCTTTCTCAAGTCATCAATTTTGGAAAGTATTCCAATCAGTCTGATAAATTGAAATACGCCATAGCAGAAAAACAGCAAAAATTGACGAATCGACGAGACCATCACGACAATGCAAAACTGCATGTTTTTGTCATTGACTGTAAGAAAAAAACTGTTACAGTTTAATTGGAACATTCTATTGCATCTTCTGTATTCCCCAAATTTTATTTTATTCAATTATTACTTGTTCCTGTTATTAAAAAAATTCTTTTCATGATAAACGATTTCAATCCGTAAGCGAAATAAAAAGGCAATATTTTGCAAATAAACCCCAACAATTTTGGAAAAAGGAAATAATGAGAGATAGAAGAATATGATAGAGTAGAATAGTTCATATATAATGCAATAAATT